TCACCAACATTTGTTGTTGCTAGTTGTTTGAAGATGTGCCATTCTCACTGGGGTGAGGTGGTATCTCATTGTGGTTTTAATTTGCATCTCATATTAGGGATATTTTAAACAAAAAACTATATAATTTTTTTTTTACAGCCCTTGAAGTTTTGGAAGATTTTGTGTTACTGAGCATACATTTCATATAATAGCATTTAGTTCTAGCAACTGCCCTTAATTAGACTATGTATTTCTCATTGTGACACAGTTCCTATCACTCTCTATTGCCTATATCCAGAATAATTTGTGTGGCTTCCTGGCCTTTATGAAACATCTGTTAATGACCCTTGCTTTAGAGTAACTATTACCTCTGTGGGTCTTGTTGGTTTTCAACAGTAATTAATCTTGGTCACATCAATGCACGACTGTGTAGTGCTGTAGAACTTGCATTAGTTCTCAAATTTTTGCAAATATCAGTCATTGACCTGTTAAAAAAGTGGACTGTGCCTCATTCCTAGAGTTTCTGATTCAGAAGGTAAGAGAATTTGAAGAATTACATCTCTATCCAACTCTCTCAAGTGCTGGTGCTAGTGTGTGGACTTCCTTTTGAAAATTGGTTAGCTAGCGGGAAACCACCTTGTGTATACTCACTTCTGCCTCCAGCTGGATGTGCAGAACCTGCAAGAGAGCCTTACACTGTAGATGTATTCATGACAACTGCAAGATTGATTATACCAAGGATAGTCTCTGTCGTATCTCAGGGCACAGAGTGAGAACTGGTTCATATTCACTGTGCAAGGGCAGAAAGGCAGTGTTTGACTTAACATTAGACATAACCTGCTGAGTTAGGATATTTACCTGTTGGGCAGTGTGGAGACGCCTACAAATCCAGCTTTTTGTACTTGGAGGAGGTCCAGTTTTAGGAGGCAGAAGGCAGACAGATGGCTTCAATCTAGTCCTTGCTATTGAAGAAGTTTCACATAGAGTGACAGGTTTGATAGAGCCAAGGGGAGCACAGAACTGGGAATTCACTAGGGAGCCAATGGGGTTGTTTTTGAAGGTAAGTCTCTTAAGGAACTCTAATTAGGGTGAAGTACCCAAATTCAGGAATGAGACTCCATGCTGGTAATTTCACTGATGAGCACATTGCTTGGAGAGGAACAAAGTACAGAAGGTAACTGCAGGCATCCACTTTCCAAGGGTCCCTGCTAGAGCTAAGGTTTCTCAAGGCATGATCAGAGCAAAGCTAGCAAGAAAGGTAGTTTAACCCTATTAAAATCAAGCTTACTATAATGACATGAGAGTCCTTCCCACTTATGGGAAGAGAAGAAAGGTAAAGATTGAGAACCAGATGGGCAGTAACATGGATAAATGTATTAAAACTGCACCTGTTGGGCCCTCCCTGGTGGCACAGCGGGTTAAAGCACAGCACTGAGAAGCTAAAGTCACTTCCACATGAGTTCGATTCCCGCCTGCCCCGGAGGTGATCACGTGGCGTGACAGACCTCTCCTGACCCACCCGCTGCTCCCCTCAGCAGTGTACTTCGTCGATCTGCCTGTTCTGCTCCCCACTCTGTCTCTGGTGAAGCCTCTCGCCGCCCCTGAGCCTCTGGCCTGTACCCCAGTTCTGTATGCACAAATAAATAAATCTTTAAAAAAAAAAACAAAAAACTGCACCTGCTTAAGATGCTTATGAAAGAAATTAGGTCATTATGTGATGATAATTGCCACTTACTAACCTAGAAAAGTTTGTATTTCTGTTCAAAGTCAAGACTTTTAATAAATTGTCAACCATGTGACTATAATTTTTCAAGGTAATTAGTTACTATGTTTATAGATATTTATGTGTCCATATTATTTGCCTTTATATTATGTGAACCTAGTTTGATTGGAATTACTAGACAGTGGTATGCACTGGTTGATTGTTGACTGTAGATCATTTGATTTCAGTGTTGTTGAAAATTTTTTGTTTCCTGAATTCTTTACTATTAAATCTTAGATGGTGAAGAATAACAAGGTGTTTTTTTTTTCCTTGTTTAAAAAAAAATCCAGTTGGGTCCTCAATCTGATAATATAGATAAGGCAGATATAAAATAACTATTTTGAAAGTTGAGATGGTAATTATTGCTCATATTTAATCTTTAGACATTAACTGTCCTGTTGATTTTACATCCTATCTTAAAAGTGAACTATAGATAATAATCCTGATTAGTTAGCATCCTGATTCAGAGATAGTACTCAATGGCTAAGGTATAGTACTCAAAGGTGGGTATTTTCATAAACTATAAACATAGAGGGAATAGTTTCTCCTGTTCTTTTCCCTTTAATAATAATGTTTTAGGATTGTGATAATTACCTAAATATAGTTTTATTGTAGTATGACAGCTTCATTGTTTTGATGGGAGCTAAACGCTCTGCTTTTCCTTTGATCACCTTTAAGTAGCTTCAAGGTTTAATAGTGCCAAAGGCAATTTTCAGTGATGGAAAGTAAATTAAAACTGCTTTCATATTGTTTTAACAGGCTCATGCACAATTAGTTCGAGAAGTTGATGTGGAGAAAGTGTCTGCTTTTGAAAATCCATATGTAGACGCAATAAAAAGCTTATGGAATGATCCTGGAATCCAGGAGTGCTATGATAGAAGACGAGAATATCAGTTATCCGACTCTACCAAATAGTGAGTATTCACCCAAGAGACCCTTTAGACCTTTCTCCTTTCCTTTCATGTATAGATGCTCTGGTGTATAGTGTATGTTTCAAGCTTCAAAATTTTAGGAAGTATAGAAACTAAACCTGTGCCAATCTTATAACATTAGACTATATTATAAAAATCTGGCATCATGAGTCATGAGAGGGGGAGTATTTCTTATACTGTTTTCTGTTGAAAAAACAAACTGAAGACTAGGACTCTGATTTTACCAGCCCATTTCTTCCCCTAAATTGCAAACCAGTGATTTTCCAATACATAGTCCATTATTATTTGAAATAATAATTTTAATACAAATTTCTGATATTAGCCATATGCTAGCAAAACAACCTCCGCACAGTAAGGACTGTAAACCAAAAATATACTTGGTTATGTCTTCGAAAACATCATTTTCCAGTTTCCAAACAATAGAAACTTGACTGATTTTTGGGTGCCACTATTTAGTTGATGGATAGGTTTGACTTTTCATGAGAATTGTGTGTGAGTCTAATTTTGCATGCATTCCAGGAATATTTTGGGAGGTGTCAATCAAAATCATGTGTCCCAGGAGAGATTTGCATCCTAGAGAGATCTGTTAGTTCTCTAGGTTAAATCTCCCCAACAGAAAGAAAGACTTGGCAATCACAGAATGATGTCATCAGCAATCTAATTGTCAGATGCCTGAAAAATGCATTTTTCTGTAGTAGTTAGACAGCTTTCTGTCTACATTAGTAATGCTAACCCAGTATTCACCTATTGTGATGGTGGCTCTGAACATACAAAAAAAAAAAAAATGAGAGGAAAATACTCCATTGGGAATATAAGGAGCACCACAGGCTGATCAGATCACTCACTAGTGCACAGAAGACATGAGCTATTTGGCTCTTACCCTGGTTCCAGGCACTTATATAAGTAATAGTTCTGGTGAGCCACAGAAATATTGCCTGGCCCAAGCAGTTTTTATATTCCTATGGTAAGTTCAAATTATGTAACTCTGGACTGTGCTCATGAGCAGTGTTGGCTACTATATTTTTTTCAAAGATTTATTTTTTATTTATTTTGCATACAAGAACTGGGTTTTAGGCCAGAGAAGTGGGGCAGGGTAGGGGATAGTATTCACCAGAGACAGAATGGGGAGCAGAAACAGGCAGATCTACTGAAATACATTGCTGAGGGGAGAAAGGAGTAAGATAGAAGAGATCTGCTGTGCCGTGTGGGTCAGCTCCCCTAGCTGGGGATCAAACTCATGCCATAGTGGCTTAACAGCGTTGAGACTCAGTACCACCAGGGAGGTCCTCATAGCTACCGTATGTTAAGTAACAGTTAATACACTTGTGTGCCTCAAAAAATGTGTATTTTTCTCATTCCCTATTTTCTCTTTTCCCTCCCCATCTTTACATCATTCTCCTTATTTCCAGGCTTTCTTTTCTGCTTTCTGTCTGCCTTCCTCGGCCTGTCTTGCTATCTCTATATATCCTCCCTCCCAAGCTCCCACTATATAAGTTCCTGTGAGTACAGAGATGAAAAGATGCAGTCAGTAATTGTCAGTTCCAAATTCTGCCCCCTCAACCTTTGACCAGCTGTCTTTCTTTTACTTCCTGCCCCCTCTGTCCTTCTGTTTCCTTTGTTGTTTCAAATTGCATCTAGCTCCCCATTTGCTGTTGGGTTTTATCCCTTGTTCCTTGTTCTTGCTCATTATGTCTTCTATCTGCCTGTTTACCCCTCCGCCCTCATCTCTTGTTTTTTCTAGTTCTCCTTTATCTCTTAATCACTTATCATCCTGTTACTGTGATGCCGCTCCTAGCTCTTACAAATAATCGAATCTTCCATTAGTTTTGTTTAGAGAAATCCTGTCTCATTTATTTCTAACCTCTTTTTACTTTTCTCATAAACCCTGCCTCTTCCCCACTTTTTTTTTTTTAAGATTTATTTACTAATGCATACAGAACTGGGGTACTAGCCAGAGATGCAGGGGCAGTGAGAGGATTCACCAGAGACAGAGTCGGGAGCAGAACAGGCGGACTGACGAAGTACACTGCTGAGGGGATCAGCAGGCCTGTCAGGAGAGGTCTGCCGTGCCATGTGGGTCACCTCCAGGGTAGGGATCGAACTCATGCTGAAGTGACTTTAGCTTCTTAGTGATGTGCTTTAACCCGCTGTGCTACCAGGGAGGGCCTCTTCCCCACTTTTACTGTTAAATTCTTTACTTGTCAACTGTAACAGTTCTCCCTGCAGAGAGATATTTTTCATCAAGAGATCTCAGCACCAGTATCCAGTAACTATGTACTTACCCAGGTTAGGTCTTCTACTTAGGAAGTGGTTTGCCATCCCAGAATTCTGTCGGTACAGGCTGCATCTATCATGTCTACTCTTTGGGTACCTCACTTGATGATAGAGCCAAAGATGTAGGGGGTTCTAAGACAGACCAACCTAAACCTTTTCTGATGATTGTTTTTAAAGCAATTCTACTCTCCTCTGATGGGGTTGGGAAGAAATTGACTTTCTAAACTGTGTGTGTATGAATATACATATACTTATACATATATATAGATATAGATATAGATATATAGAATATCCATATATACAAACATACACACACTTACACATCTAATTCTATTTTAAACAATCCTGTATGTAGATGTAACATGTCCTTATTCCCACATTTCATAGTGTATCTCTGACATTTTCAATATAGGAAATAATGCCATAGTACACACAAAATTATCAGTCCCATTTTATTATTCAGATTTTCCAAAATGTCCTATTAAATTTAGAACTGCATATCATTTTTGATTGTTATAGCTCTTAATGATCTTTTATTTTATAGTGCAGGCCTGTTTTGCATTTCATTGGCATATTGATGAGCCTGATTGTGCTTTACAGTATTTAACTTGCTCCTCTGTCTCTTGAACTCACTATAAACTGGAAATTTTATTTAAAGACTTGATGAGACTCAAGTTAAATATTGTGAATAGAATGTATTTTAAATGATGTGGTGTCCTGACTCAACCCTCATTGGTGAAGTTGAAGCATTCCACTGTATTAGGGCACTGACAACCTCTCTAATACAGCTGTATTTTTTTCTTCCTGCCACCAAAAATAATGTGTGGTGTTACTTTATCACTGAGTAATCTCCAGTTCCAACTGTTCACTCAGTGTTTTAATTTCACTTAATTCTTGTTTGGTTTAATAATTTCATTAGAATATGTAAAGTAATGATTTTCTACTTTTATCAATTGGTCTGCATGTCTACATTATCATTCTTCTGTTTTTGCCTCAACTGTTTATCCTGATTATCCTGAAACACATTTCCTATTGAAAAGTGTCTGTTTCAGTCTTTTTGTTACAGAAATTTAGTACATAGACTAAATTGATGGTGACCTTATAATTTATTCTCCAAACAAGGACATTTGGAGAAGTGTGAGGGATTGTTTTAATAATTATGCTGAAATGGCAGCCTAGAAAGAATGTCCAGATCAAGCTGGGGCATTTGGTCCCATCAGGTACATGAAACACAGAGGAAATGTTTTGGTTCAAATGTTATTCCCTACCTCCACTACTACACCCTTAATTTCTCTAGAAGGCTCTGTTTACTGTAAGGACACCAGAACCAGGCTATCCTTGCCAGTTACATAAGTAATATATGTGGAAACCTGAGTTAGCTGGCCGCATGTTTCTGATATCTTCTTGGAAGTTTTCAGCAGTGTTTATAGAGAACGCGGAGCAGCCTATTGTGGAGCCTTTAATTGCACTGTGCCAGGAGACCTGAAAATGAGAGGCACCTTATTCATTTCCTTATTATTCCCAGGTCCTTTTCCTTTTTCTTAGCCAATAAAAACATATCAACACAAAAAACCATAGGCTTGATGGCTCTTGGACTCACTGCTTGACTGCTGTGTCCCATGTGTTTCTCCCGTGTCATCTCAGTAATGCTCTGTGAGCTACAGGCATAGTACCAATGAGAACAGAGCTCTCATTTTTGAGCGTCACTGTTTTCCAATAGAGTTTATTTTCAGGATTCACTCAGAAGTATACCTTTCTGTGTATTAACCACAGTTGGTATGACTTTCCTTTCCAACTTTTTGCCTATGTTCACTTTATTATTTTATTTACTTATACAAAAAGAATTGGGGTATATGCCAGAGGTGTGAGGAAAGGGGGTAAGAGAATTCACCAGAGACAAAGTGAGGAACAGAACAGGCAGATCTACTGAAATATACTGATGAGGGAAGCAGTGGGTGAGACAGGAGAGGTCTGCTGCACTATTTGGGTCACTCCCTGGCTGGGGAGTGAATTCATATTGCAGTAGGTGGCTATAGCTTTATAGAGCTGAGACTTAACCCGTGGGGCCATCAGGGAGGCCCACCCTTTTTTTACGTAAGCTTGCTTCCTTCATTTGGATTTCTCTTTCTTTTTTCTTGTCTTTGATTAAAAAATAATTCAAAAAAATAACTCATTGATAATCTAATTTCTTATACACTTATCATCTTGCTGAAATCTTTCTAAAATTAGGACCAACTTCTGTAAGTACTGACAATCTCTAGTTGTGGATCTTTAGTGTAGATTTAAGGAACATTGAGATATCTAATCCCTAGAAGTGTGAAAATTCAGGCCTACTATGCATATGTGCTTAAAGGTTGCACTATACCAATTATACTCTTCTAGCTAGCTGTGAATGTCAGTGCAGGCCATAGATGGGAATACTGAGAGCAGAGAGCAAACATGCCTCTCTTTTATCTGGTAAACTCCTAGTCATTCTTCAGACCCAACTCCATAGCCACACTTTCTGAAGACCTTATCCAATACCAATGACAGGCACTATGTTATCTGCCTTAACCCTTTGTATCTTTATTTTTTGTTTCTGTTGTCATGTACCCTCAGTGCCTCATAGTGTTACTGCTTATGTTTGTTCACAAATGATTGTCCCGTGAAATAATAATTATTTCCACAATTTCAGTGACAATGACGTAAGCACTCTCTCTTTGGCCATT